CCTTCCTTTGCCCATCTAAACATTGGTTTGATTTTTTTTCGCTTGTTCCAGTCTTTTATTCCACACTTAATTGCCCTTGGTGATATCTGTCTCATGACACTCTCAACCTACGTCAATGCGCCCTCTATCCTGGTACTGTATATAAGCACCTCATTCAGATAATATTATCACTTTTTCTCGACAGAGCATTCACTAACAGGTTTTTTCTACTTTGGAAATACCTTGAGTGTTCTTCGTGTTAGCTGGTTGTTTTCTGTTAAAATGTTCCATTTGGCAAGCCAATATACGGCATGAATCCCCGGATTATTGTTTCTGACACAGATGCAAATCAAGTCTCTCCTATCCCACCTTACATATCGAGTGTTGCTCAACAGTTGGGGTGGGGGTGGGGAGTCACTTTCAGTTGAGGCTCTCTGTGACCTTATTTATATATTCGGTCCTGTGGTGTTTCTCCAGGGGCCTCTGAGGCTGCACTTTTAGGCGATCTTGGATGTTCTGGAGAGAATTTTGATTTGTTTTTTCCAATGCCTTCCTTTATTCTGTCGGCTTCTCAGGAGGCCATATTGGGATCATCTGCCTCTGGCTCCTTTTCTTCAGTTGATAAATCAATTGTGTGATGTTTGGGGTCTTTCCCCAGTTGCTTTTGAACTTGCTCCTTCCTTGATGGTGAATACTTAGTTCTCCCTCCATCCCCTGATATTGCGGTTCATGTAGGGAGGGTTACTGTTCAGATACCTGAAGGGACAGTTATGCCTTATACACCATGTTTCTCAGATCAACTTGCTTTAGCTTGCCACTGCCAGGTGGACGCATATTTAGACTCTCAAAGAAGAGACCCGCTTTTGGAAATGTGGAGTTCCAGAATGGAGTCTGTAGTCAACCTGAACAAATCACAATTTTCTAGTATTAATTTGATCCTAACTACGGTTCTGAGATATTTATCATCCCTCCATGTTTTGTCAGAAGACTCTCAGCATTCACCACATCAATTTGATGATGAGTTGGGACCATTGTTAGCATCTACCTCGGTTCGATTGTCAGTTTCTACATTTCCCTAGTTTCTTGGCTGGTATATTGTCAGGATTTGTGGTGTAGAGATGCATTGTTGGAGGGAAGTTGTTTACTGGCTGCTGAGTTATGTGAGGCCCCCTTTCTCTGACCGTTGATTTTTTTTGCAGGCGTTTCAAGGTCCTTAGAATCAAGGGTTGATGTTGCCCATCTGCATTCATCCCTGTCATTGTTGGGTTCTTGACTTTCCTTGGCTCCTACAGGGGGTCATATGTTTGTTCCTATTCGAGTTCCCGATCCCCAACATCAGCCTCTTAATCCTTTGGTACCCAAAATAGATTCTGTCCATATCCATAAGGTTCCTCTGCTCAGTCGGATCACCGTCAGTGGCGACGATGCTACCACATGCTTTTGAGGTCTGTGGTACCTCGGACCACCATTATCCACCCAACCAGTAGTGTTTCTGCCTCCCACAGATCCTTGGATTTCAGAACTTCGTTTCGGGACTATCAGATATTTTTTGGTCAAAGAGGCAGTGGAGAAAGTCATCCCAGTTCTTCCAGGGTTTCATTCCCATTTGTTTGTTTGCCCAACAAGACAAGAGATTGGCATCCGGTCATCAATCTTTAACATAAACATTAATTCCTAGATCATTAAAGGTTCGTGATGGATAGCAATAGATGCATTCAATCAGGACTGGATGGGATTACACCTCTGTGAATTCCCATTGATTCGTATGTTACCTGGTGTACAAGGTATGATTCTTTCACCCCTTGTTGGGTTCAGGTGTGCCTGTCTCTTCCACTTCCTCTTTCTCCATCTCTGAAGCTCAGGCTTCATCCATGGAGGTTATGCAGTCCTTTCCATGGCATTGAGGTTTAACTTCTAAGGTTTCCATGTATTTGTCTCAGTGTTTGCGTAGTTCCACGATGGACATTTTTAATGGAAATGGCACACATATCGACAATAATGTTTTGTGAGGAAGTTGAACATATTTCGTCCAGACGTGCCTACCATAACTTGTTTTTTGACTTGACTCCATGACAAGGGTTACACATCTAAAACAGAAACAAAAGGGAGCAGGAATTTAGTTTCAAGGAAGAGAAATCAACGTGATAGTTGCCTGCTCTTCCCAACAGGGGTGCTTGGGAACTATTGTTCCCCTTCAACCCCACGCATGAGAGTAATAAGCAACAGTGACTATAATCACATTTAAAAACATCGATGGGAAGTTTTGAGAGAAAGCTATGAAGAAGGACAGGGAAGGCAAGATGAAGGTCTTATTTTCCAGTGGTTGTTGGTGATGAGCAGAGATGTTGTGGTTGTTGATGATGTATAGAGGTGAAGAGTTGAGACGAAACATTAATTTGAAATATTGGTTTCGCATCCTCCACAATTGTTTTCTGTAAGATGGCCTTATTGACTACCTTTAAATACTCGAGATAAAAATTATTAGATTCCCCAGTACTCTCCAGCCTCTTCAAGTCGTTTAGGGTCCTTCATCTCAAACTGATTTCAGTTACGTAACTGTGATATTAAGGTGGTATTACATGCTCTTTCTCAACATCCGGTTGAGCCCTTAGCCCCTCATGTACCATGTATCACCTTTCATTTGAGGTTTATTTTTTGTTGCTGCTGGCCTGTGGATGTCGCAGTTGTTTGCACTATATGTGCACAGGGCGATTTATCATTCTACCTACATCCTCCTATACCCAGACAGATCCTTCTTACCTAAGATACTGCCAGCCAGGAAGAGGATAAATCCTTTCACTGATTCATCTAACCACTATTTCTTACCTCTATAACCAATTGAATTTTGATTCTTTATGTACAGTGAGGGTTTTCAAGTGTTAGGTTGCCCACAGATGGATTTGAAAATTGATCTATATCACTTATTCTGGGCTGTCTTTGGAGGTGGGGAGACTTCTGCTAATCATGTCTCATTTCTATGTCCTGTTTGAATTGCCCACTGGACCTCCAATACTTTTATCTTACATTATTTGCATGATCTGGCAGTATCTTTATCTGAGAGTTTCCACTACTCCCTGTAGCTATCTATAAGGAGATGTGAGTATTGTCATTACTAATATTATCTCTTCTTTACTTTCCAAAATTCTTTACCTCTTTTTCACAGGATCCCACTCTTTGGCAAGTGTTGCTCAGGCAGGTGTGCTTTTATCAAACCAATTCTGCTCTAGTAGCCATTGACACAATATACTTTATATAGGTTGCAACAGGCTCTTTAGAAATCAGATGTTCCATAAGACCACCTAGAGGCAGTCTGGGTGGTATTATTATACTATACTGGACTGCCACTCATGGACTATCGTGAGTAAAGCATAAGGGGATCCTGCCGATAACTGGATGGAATAAATAGGGTCAGTTTGCTTTTAAAAAATTAGGAACTTTGGTCACCTATTGCTCTGTTTCCAGAGCATTGTTCCTCAGAGCTCACCAATGCACATCTCCCCCTCCCCAGATTCTACTAGTGGAGCTAGTACACACCTGGTTTTCAGTCACTGGAGTGGTGAACAGAGGCTTTTTTTTCCAGAGCATTAGATTGAATTTACTCCACTCTTGGAGAAGATGGCGAAGTTAGGGGCCCTTCTACCTGGGACCCTGAATGGTTTTTTTACCCAGATGTTAGTAGGAGAGGCACTAGCCTACGTGGGAGCCTACTCATAATACCAATTCAGATTTAATGGTCGGCTATCCGATTGGGTTGAGGGTGGCCCTTCTTTTTAATCAATATTGGTCCAGTACATTGTTTGTGGAAGAGGGTCCGTTGTCTCCTCATAATTCCGAATTCAGAGTGGTCCCATCCTGAGTCCTTGGTTGAGCACAGTTCTCCATAATTCCGGGGACAAGTGGAATTTACCTTGCCCACATGGTTTGGGAGTGAGAATGAGTATTTATGATTTCAGACCATATGAGTTCTGTTACTTCAGGTTGAGTATGGCATACAGGATCCTGTTGTTCCGAGTTTGGGGTGTTGCCTTTCGGACTTACTCAGGTTGAGGAGAGGGTTTGTCCACTTTGGTCATTGCTTACCCTATCGTCGTGATTCTGGTGGCTTGGTACATATCACTCTATAGCTATAGGTTGGGATCCACTCACACCTGTTTTGAATGTAGTGTGGTTCCCCCACTAAGGTGCCAATCTTCTAATGACATGCCCACGACCTATGCAGATGTATTATATATGGATAATGCCCTCACTGGTCCCTAAACCTTATCAATGTGGGATTCTTGCTGTAGTGTAAGAAGAGGTTTTGGAAGTTAACATTTTCTTAAATTGAAAATGTATTTCCAATAGTAAGTTCCTCTTCTCACACTCTCCTGTCCTTCTTCCCCACTAACAGCCGGTGCTAGAAACTGCAGATT